TGTATCCAAGTATGGGATTTATTCTGGAAGAATATTTAAAGGATTATGATAATCCAGGATGAGTTAAATTGGGCATTACTGGTATGTTTTTACCTGTTTTCTATCATACTACTTTCCTAAAACTTTCACAGAGAAAGTAGGTAAATAATTTTCTCGCCATTGTCAGAAGACCATCTGCTGTTTGAGACAAGTCTCCTAGATATTATTATCATTATAATTTTTCTATTTCCAGTTAGCAGTGTACTTCCTTTAATATGATGCTTTCTGCATAAACCATGGTTTCTGCAGATTTCCTAAGGCCATCTTGGTATTTTGTCTGCCTTTTCCTCCTATTTAAGGGTGGGAGATTTTCTCTTACTGAGAGCGATACATTTCTACATTAGTACCTATTCATTTCCTTTTCATTTTCTCAGAGAAAAACAATCAGAGCTCATCATTGCTGTCGTCATGGAGATTTCATGTCTCCAGAAGAAATCCAGTTGAGGAGTTTCTTTGTTAATCCCATACTGGACATTTAAGCTTTCTTGTTTGTATTCCAGCAGCCCAGGCAGGGAAGTCATTGACATTGATTACAGTGTGATTCATAACCCAGGGTGGGCAGGGGGAAGTGTGCGCAAAAGGAGCTGTCCTGGGGCACTGGAGCTGTGCATACAGTAGGTGCTCAGGCAGCAGTTGGTGACTGGACAGAAGCAGCAGCCAGAGCTCTAACAACATGTCAGCATCTTGGCTGTCCACAGAATCATGAACTCAACACAGCCACTGCCAGCCTCATTATCTTCCTGGCAAACCTGTCCTCCACCACCTTTCCCACCAGAGCCCCACTGTCTGCTGAGCTGTCCTCATCCTGATTCTGTTCTCGCCCCTGCGGTCTGAAGTCTTGACTTTCATTCTATTGATATCCACATTTCCGGGCATCCTCCTTTCTTTCTCCTCTTCTGGCCCTCGGTTCTTTGCTCTAGTTCAGGCTGCGGTCTCTTAGGTAGGGAACCATCCCTTCCCCTCCTGGCAATTTTCTTGCTCTTCCCATTGCTGCTGGAACAGTGAGGGCACAGAGTCTGAAGAATATCTTTGCTAACAATGGTGAGATCGAAGAGTCTTCCTAATATGCAAATCTGATCATGTTACTTCTGGGTTTAAAAATCCTTCAGTGGCTCCTACTGCTTTTAAGATAAAAACCTAAACCCTTGGATCATTCAAAGGCTTTCAAGACCTCATCAATGTCTTTTCCCATCACTACCCTTTTGTATCTTGTGGCCTGGGCGTCCTGAGTGAGTGACCAGTGATGTTCTGGGCGATGCATCTATTCAGTGCAGCGGTTGAGAATGATCTCCGGCTCTGGCGTCAGATTGAATGCGGTCGTGTTCCAGCTCCATCACAGAGCTCTACAACCTAGAAGGAGTTGCTTAAAGGCTCTGTGCCTCAGTTTCCTCATCTGTAAAATGGGCTTGATTGGAAGTATCACCTAATAAGGTTGTTGTGAGAATCCAATGTATGAATACATGTCAAGTCGTAAAATCAGTACCTGGCATGTACAAATACTTCGTAGTTGTTATGCAGGTCTTATTATGAATGTGATTACTTTATACTTTGCTGCTTCCTTCTGTCTGGAATACCCTACTCTATCTTAACCTAACCAATTCCACCGATCCTTTAAGTCTCAATCCCAATATCACAGCCTCTTGGAAACCAGCTTCTGCAGCTGTGTAATAGTAAAACCTTAAGTGGTAGAGTCAGAATGTATGACCTTAAATCCTCGTTCTGCTACTCACTCTTTTATTCTAGTCTAACTTCACTAAGCCTTGGTTTCCTTGTCTATAGAATTAGGATAATAAAATAATAATACCAATTATTTTGCTGTCATAAAAAGTAAGTTTGTAAAGATATACCTAACATGTACTGAACACTTCATTCATGCTAGGTATTGTTTTTTGTTAGCAGCCTTTCATTCTTACCTTTTATCAAGAACAAATCACTGTATTATAATAATCTTTTTACTTGTTTTTCTTGGCACCTAGATTGCGGGTTATATAAGTTCAAGGACAGGGTCTTTTTCATCATTTTATCTTGGCACTTGACACATCAGTCAGTGGGATGGACAGGAATCCAGCTGTTGTGTTAATACATGTGACTATTTGTGTGCATAATTTAGGAGATGTTAGAGGATTATGAAGGTAGGAGAAGGAGATGTTGGGAAGGAAGGATGTTTTAGTGGGATGGGGGAGTGGAGCTGTTTTCTTTCTTTGGAAAGTACTGAAGAGTGGAGGTTAATTGCTGTTGCCCTATTTCATTTGGCACAAGGGTTACTGGTGATGGGAGAGGAAGCCTGTCTGAGAAGGGCTGGGACTCAACTGGAGACATGATGCATGCATTGTCAGTGGGATTTACTAACATCATACTGGTTCTTAAATAGAGTCATGCCAGTAAATATTTAACAACCGGTGCTCCAAGAACACCACAAAGCCCTGATTTATAGTGTTTGCTGGTTACTGTGGTGTAAATCCCCCCACCATGGCCACTCTCAAGCTGCCACTGCACTGTTATTAACCAACCTGCAAAATTCCTGAAATTGTACCAGTTCACCAGTGATGAGCTGGCCCCAGCATAGCGCTGTATAAACTTCTTACTTCAGTGTTTCCATCTGTAACATGTGAATCCTATAATGTGAGCATCCTGTCTCCAAGTATAGCTGCCAGGGGGAGGTGGTCAAATGTGATGAAACGTGGAAATGTTAGTGTTTTAACAGCGCCGCATGCGCTCACCCTTACATCGAAACTCTCTTCCCATCCACTGGCTGTGTGTCATAAGGCCAGGATATGTGCCGATGATCTCTCCAAAAGCAGCCTGTCCAGAGTTCTGCTCAGAGCAGTATATTTTGTTTTATCCTCCCAATCGGGGCTATGCTTTCTGCAGCAGACTGACTCAATTAGCCTTTCATTCCAGAGTCCAATTGTGAGTCAATTCCGAGGTTGTTAAGCAAAATGAGTCTGGTGGCATTAGTCTCTCACTGAAGGACAGTAATCCTCATCACAGTGTTGTTCAGTTAATAGTCTGCTGGAGAGACTGTGAGAAACAGGAGATGTGGAGAAGGAGCGACCTTTTGTCGATCTCTGGGGGACAAGCCGGGAGCATGGGACTGCCAGGTCAGAGAGCTGTTCAGCAGCCAGGTCGTGTGAAGAACCGGAGCCCCAGTTGCCTGAACCTGCAGTTGGCCTTTGCAAAGTTAGAAACCCAGTGCCACTAGATCATTAACTTTCATGACCAGGAAAATTCTTTTGAAATTAACACTCAATCCAAGCTGGATGCCATTGGAGCCAGTTGAGTAAGCCCGAACCATCTTTAGGGATTTCCTCTGAAAAATAAATCCTTTAGCTGGGCTACAGAAAATAGGCAGGTTTTATATCTTTCAGTGTGTTCCATTAAAGTCAGGAAACACCAGCGAGGCACGGACTGTGGTTGCTACTCAGGTGCGTACACATGCGCACACCCCAGCCACATTCGGAGGATTTTGCCAAGGCACTTAGCTTTGGCACATGGCCATTTGGGGAGCCTTATACAGGAGCTCTCTGAGGAGTGTCAGGTCCTGTGCAAAGAAAATGAAGCAGACCTCCAGCATCTGCCCCGGGCATTCACCGCAAGGGAGTCAGGCCCCCAGAACATAGAGAGCACAGAAGATAGGCTCAGATAGGGAAGCTTGGGCAAGCCTTGTTTACAAGGGTTCAAGGAGAGAACCCCACACGAACATGGCTTTGCAGCGTACTGCGGACTTGGATAATTTCATCAGGTCTTTGAATGCCCTTTCTAGTTAAAATTGCAGGAGATGGATGTGTAACGTACTTCCTGTGGGCCTCTTAGAAACCTCTGTGATCCCTACACATCCTACCCGTCTTGGTTCCACCCAACCAAGCTTGTTTATGTCATACACAGCGTGCCAAGAAAACACAGCCTCTTAGGTGGAAAGAAGTAAAACAGCTCTGGGTGTGTCGATATCCAATTATGGGGTGAACTAAAGATAGAAGAAAACTGAGACAGCCTCCCATTGTCTCCCATAATTGCCAGATAATTTAAATTCTTGTGAAGTCCATTGTGTTCTTCCATAGAAACAGAGCAGTTGTCTGCAGAGATGACCTCAGAGGTGGCCCAGCTCTCATTCAGGATTTCTCCAACAATATCCTCTTCAGACTGAAAAACAGCCAGTTGGCCACAAAGAGCCCTCTTCTCCCCAGACCAGCGTGTCTGCGGCTTCTGTCGCCTTCTGGGCCGCTGCATCTTCACTGCCACCCAGGGCTTCTGTGTGGACTGCGCCGGCCCCTGGAGAGATTCCAACATGCAGGCAGCTGTTGCATCTTGCAGCGGCCTCTCCAGGCACAGCCTTGACCACAGGCCCACCCGCCCAGAGCAAGCCTCTCTGTCCCTCTTTCCTTCCCCTTCTGTTCCCCAAAGGCAGGCTCCTCCTCAGTGCCACTCGGCTGGAATAAATCACTATCCCTGGGCTGGTGGATGAGAGGTGACTTACAAGACAGAAACACACATTCTTAAAGCCAGTAGGAATTAGAGGAGCAGATGGGCTGTAGGATCCTATTTTGACGCCAGGGACATGTTTCTGTATAAAGTAAATATTTTCCCAGTGTGGATCTCCGGTGAGTGTGTGAAGAAGCATATTTCCTAAAGATGCAAATAAGTCTAGTCAGAAATAAATATTGAATGGAAACTTCAAAGCCTCCAGATTCCTCCAGTTATAGGCCCTGAAGACTTCTATCTGAATAAACAGAGACACACAGGTGAGCGAGGGCTGGGGAAAGGGACATTAGGTGGTTGAATGAGAAAGGATGCCAACAGTTTGTTAGCTCACGTTTTCTATGTATTTTGTGTGTATGTGTGTGTGCGCGTGTGCAGAGAAAGGCATATCAACAAAGGAATAAAGAAAACATGTCTGTCCAGAGGCTTAGGATGTTTTAAAGCACATTTCCCCCCCCCCCCCCCCCCTTTTTTTCCTATTGTAGATCTCGCCTTGCGGATTTTTTTACCAACTGCCAGCCAGAGTCAAGGTCTGTCAGCAGCTGTCTAAAGGAAAACTACGCTGACTGCCTCCTCGCCTACTCAGGGCTTATTGGTAAGATCCGGGAGAAGCAGGATGGGAGAAGAGTGTGGTTTGTAAATACCTGTGTTCTTTCCATTGCACCCTGCTGATGTCTGCAGAAGTGAAAATCTCACAGTAACCTCTGGGCTGGGGTTTGGCTGTTAAATCCTTGAGGACATGCCTGAAAAAAAAAAAAAAAAAAAAGGAAGAAGAAAAGAAAAAAATGAGATAATGGATGCGCGAAAGGCAGAGGCAGGAAGCGGGGATTATTAAGGAGTGGGGAGGCTATGAGTGCTCAGATGGGCGAGGCGTCTCAGTTGGGAAACTGACCACGCAGAACAAAAGCAGAGAAAAAAGCGCTTGGTTATGGAAGAAGAAAGTGAGTCAAACAAAGTTAATTGAATTAGGGAACTTTGGAGAAAGAGAAGTCATTCAGGGTGGGGAAATCAAAAAGGCTGTTTCCCAGAAACAGCCCTTTGGAAATAAAAACCCTAAATACAGGGGGCCCTGCTTGCTGTTAATGTTCTTGGTAATTCAACTCTCAGTGCACAGAGGGTGATTTAGGCTAATTTTTTTTTCCTGAAAACAGACATAGCAGAAACAGTATTTTCTGTCTTTCAAGACCCAAGGCTTTAGAAGAACCATGTTCTCAGCATTCCGAGCAGTGTGGTTACACATGACCACCGTGAGAGACAGAGGGAAGCAAACTTGGACCCCTGGATACCAGGGCTCTCAGGGGGAAAGGCAGGTGTCCCAGGTACCAGGGACAGCAGAAGTCTTGGTGGCAGGGCTCATCTCAACTGGCATTTGAGAAGGAACACAAAGTGAAGGCTATGGAAGGGTGAGGAAAATCACAGTTGTCAGAAGCACAATGGCTCAGCCAGGGTGTGCGTTCCTGCCGGCTGTCTGTGTCAGGGTCACACACGTCACCAGCAGGAAGAACCTACCCTGAGAATGACAGCACAGACTACATTCTTTTGTCGCCAGAGCATCTTCAGCAGGCAGCTTTGGGAATATCAACAACAGTACTTAATGCAGGGATAGGACAGGTTCCTGGTACACTCTTTACTCCCAACTTTTTGGAAGGATACCTGCCCTGCTGTGGGTAATAGCTTTCCCCAGATTCCCAAGTATTTTCTATTTTTATTGATTGGGCCAATGAGTGTACCTTCCTTAAGCCAATACTCCAAACTTGCATTCACTCTCTCCTTTTCCTGAGTAAGTTAATCTCTACTAGGGATTACTTACCAACTATGGAATTGCAGAAATAACAAAAGTAGTCAAAGCATTCTCATTGTAAAAAGTGTTTTTAAAATACAGAGAAGCCCACAGAAGCAAATGTTGAGTATCTCCAACTCAACTCTAGCTGCATCTGCTAACAGTGTCTACATCTTATGGACATAAGATGTAATAAGTGGTCAGTAATCCGCAGGATATATTTGGTTCACAAAGAAAAGCAATTTTTTTCCAAGCTCCTCTAAGTCAACGGATGTAGTCCCTGTTAACACTTCAGTCAGTGCCCTTCTCAGATGTACCTGCCCCTTAACCCCTTTAGGAGGGGCCAAGGCCAGGTACTGCCAGCATTTCCGTGAAGTTATTCCTAGACTTGGCAAACCCTTACACACCTAAGGATGGTGAATGGAGGGCCCAATGGCAGAGGCAATGCATTGCTTAGACCAAAATGTCTTTTTCTCTTGGGTCTGGATCTCTTTCTCCAACTTCTTTCTGTACAAGGCTTATTCCTACTTCTTCCATATATGCCAGGGGTCCACCGTGGCACCAGGCATATCCAATGGCCTTAACCTCCTCCCCTAGTGTTTAGGGTACCAGTTCCTTTCTCAATCAAAGTTAGGAGTTCCCTGTATGCAGTAGGTTAAAATGTTCATCCCAAGGTATCATGCGGTATTATTTAGTTTACGTCAGTAAAGAATATAGGGCAAAGACACTATGCCCTTTACTCAGAGAAGTTTAGAACAAAATTATTTTTCTGTTTTTGATCCAAATACACCCTGCGGACTATTGACCACCTATTACTTCTTACATCCAGAAAATATATGAAAACAAAAGCCTTCTTGTCATCAGTGGGCATTGCCTGGTGTCAGCCACCCAGGAGAAGACAGTTGGTTTGGATTAAGTATAAATGCTTTGTGTGTTTGCGCCCGTGTAGAACTCATCAGAAATATCATGACAAGATGTAGTAGGCAGGAGGGACCACCCAGCATTTCTGTCAGCACCATTGAGAGTCCACAGGCGAGACTCTAGGAGCCCTTGGCTTAGAGAATTTCCATTGTTTGTTTCCAGTTTTTTTTTTCACAATGTGGAAGACTTGATTTAGATCAGTTGAGAAGACCCCATATATACGTATATACATTCAGGGTGCGGGCTAACCACTAGGAAGCTTCTAGCTTCCCTATGTCACTCCAAAGAAACCATTTGCTTCTGGGAGAAGTGGACTCAAAGTCCTAAACAAAATTGTTTAAGATATGTAAACCAGCTGTGTCTATTTATGAAGATTAATGACATTTTCAAGAAAATGCAAGGGATTTGGCAACTCATGCATTCTCTAAGTTAATTCTTTCCTACTCCACAGCATCCATACCATTTGTGCACAAAAGAATACCCTAAGTGCAGCTCAAGGAGTTCTGTTATAATTTTTAAAGTAAATGTGTAAATTATTTTATGTGCTCAAGATAAATTGCCGAGAAAATGCACTGCTTAACATAATTTCCCACTCAGCAAACACAATGTTTGTAATTATCCACGGTGCATCCGCCGTCAGAGGAATATTGGTTTCTTTTTAGGCTCTGGAAAAGTATCATGATACAACAATAAATTGCCTTGTTTTTATTCTTTCAGGCACAGTCATGACCCCCAACTACATAGACTCCAGTAGCCTCAGTGTGGCCCCATGGTGTGACTGCAGCAACAGTGGGAACGACCTAGAAGAGTGCTTGAAATTTTTGAATTTCTTCAAGGACAATACATGTCTTAGTGAGTTTGTAAAAAATAAGAAACAAACGAGGAAATGCGCTTTCTTCTCCGAGCTCCAACTGTACCTCTTGTACCTTGTGTCTATACCTCTTGTTTCTTGTGCCTGCTTCCTCTCTCTGTCTGTCTCTCTCCCTTTCCCCTTAGTCACTGATGGTAAATCCAGCTCCTTTTGTGGCCACCCCGTGTCATGCAGCAGGGAACCCAGCAAGTGATGAACTGGGTGCCGCTAAGACTGTGAATCCAAAGGCCTGAGAGAGCAAGAGATTCAAATAACTGAGGGTACATTATGTGGGAAAGAACGCTTCCACCCGCAGATCAAATTTTGATCTTGGCAGCCTGCGGAGAGTCTGTTCCAAAGGTTCTTGAAACCTGGGCGGAATATACAATGTGAGAAGCTCAGACAAATTAGATGGGGATAGGCCTCCAAGGACTCTCTGAGAAAAATTAGAATGTTAACATCAATAGCCCCTTGGATGCTCAGGGCTGGCTCAGAGGAGAAGCAACAATTCTTGAGTAGGATAAACTGGCGATGCAGGCAGGAGGCTCGGGATGCCCGTTATCTCTGGAGGCGAGATAAGCACTGGGGAGGAGGGAGGGGGCTCCTGCTTGAAAGCAGAATCAGTTCTTATTGCAATGTCCTTTAGGCAGTTTGGAAACACGTTTCCCAAATGGACAGGGATAGAGAGAAATGGTCGGATGCGAACAATGGGCATTCATCAAACTCCTAAAGCACAGTGCCAGGACTCACATATATCCACCCAGATGTGCACGCCCTAGATGACGATCCAGCTGAGATACTTGAAAATGTCAACCCACTCTGTGGCAGTTACCATTTATTGGGTATCTTCTGCATGTTCAAACTCACTCTATAGCGAGTGTAAAATATACATTCTCATTTACTATAATCTACACAAGAGTTCTCATAGACATAGGTGGTTTTATCCTCCCATACAGCTGAATACAGCCTGGTAATTCACATAGGCCATGCATGCCAGAGTTAGGATCCAAAGTGCGATTCCTTTTGCAGTCCCCTGTGTCCTAAGAGCTTTGTTCACCCCAATGTTGAAGAGCCTGTTGGATGAGAACATAGGCCTGAACTTCAGGAACCAGGTCAGTCTGACTTCCTGGTGGGAGGGGTGGACTAAGTTTATAGGAATCAAGGCTCAGCCACCCACCCCTCTGAGAGCCCTGTCTTCAAGTGACAGTTTCTCCATGATGGTTGGTTGGCAGCTATAATTTACTATGCACACACACACACAAAGCTTTTGAGTGTTACTCTAAAACTTCCTCATCATTTACTTTGTTGAAAGTCATTTGCTTACTAGGCACTTCAAATAATGTGGCTGTAGTCAATTGCTTTGGTCTTCTTAAAAATAAAACAAGCTTTTGGATTCTTAAGTGAAATTCACACCCACAAAAGTAGTGTCAAGTGTCAAGTAAGGAAACCTTCACTACGACATTGGGGCATACCAAGGAATCACAACTTGGACCTCTTGTTTGGTCTTGACCGAAAATATATGTGTGTGTGTGTGTGTGTGTGTGTGTGTGTGTGTGTGTGTGTGTATGTATTTCCTCTTTTTCACATCCCACAGTCTTCTGGCAGAATGCAAGTTTTAACGAAGATAAAGCAATGACGATGGAGGTCAGTGTAGGGAAAGATTTTGCTCACGCTGGCTGGAAAACTTCTCCCTCACAGGGAAATTAAAGTTGTTCTTGCTGTATAACCTTTTTGATGAAGGAGAGAATAGTCTGATATCTCATTGTTAATGACTTTTCAATAAAAATAAATGCATTTTGTCTGCATCAGGGGCCAAAGACAGCCAGAATTTTCCACAGTCATTCCATTTCCACTGTGACTAGATGGGGCACAGAGCCCCAAAGACACAGGGCCATCAGTTCAATCTCTTGCAACTAGAAGGAATTGCAATTTATAGATTCCAGCCCAAATGTAGAAACTTAATTCCACTCCCTTCAGATTAAGCCTAACCTCTCCCAGATTTTCCTGTCATGAACACAACTCTAGCCAATTGTTTATTTCTAGTTTGGGGGAGGAAACAGTTGTTTTTAAACCATGTGCATGACAGATGTGTGGGGAAGAGACAAATGGGATGGAGCTGAGGTTAGATATCAGTGGCCTTCACTGAGGTCTTTATTCAGATGGCACCTTCACCAGAAGGCCTTCCTGGATCCGTTTATATAAGTACCAACTCCCTCTCTCCACTCAGTGCTTCTGGTGCTCCCTTGCTTCATTTTCTCCAAGCATTTCTCACTGCCTAATGTATTATATATTTCACTTATTTGCCTGCACAATCAGAATGTGATCTCCATGAGGGCATGGACTTTTATCTTTTGTTGCTGTTGTTGTTCACTGCTGTGTGCCCCATGCATAGTTCAGTGCCTGGTACTTAGTAGATATTCTGTTAACATTTGAATGAATGAATGAATGAATGAGCAAGTAAACAACTGAACCGCTGATTTGGCAAGGCAAACACACTGGGAAAAGCACAGGTAGTTGCAAGAAACTGTGAACCTCTTGAATCTACATGTTTTAAGCAAAAGCAAGGGTAGCAGTGGTGGTTCTTCTGGGCATTAAGGGAACTGGTCCCTGTGCGCCTCTTTCTCTGCCTCACACTCACCAGTTAAGCCATGGAACATAGCTGGGAGCATAAAAAGCATTTACATTAATTTGAAGCTGTTTCTTACAGCCCCCAAAAATGTAAAGGTGCAGAAAACAAGCTTCCAATTTACTGAACTTAAAGGATAACAATTTTAGAACAAAATGTCACTTCTAAGAAGAAGATTAGGCTTAAATTATTCTGTCTTGTATATCGAAAAATGCCAACTAAGAGTCATATATTAACAATTTGCACATTCAGGTCCCAAATGGAGGAGTTTGATTTTTTATACAATGAATATGAAATTTAAAAAAAAAAATCCTAAATCCAGGCCAAATCCCCAAAGACCTGATTAGAAACTGTTTTTTATTCATTTTGGGGAGGGGAACAACACACAACCAATTTACTCTTGCCATAAAAACAATCTAATCCTATGAAATTGTAATAAGCTTTTAAAGTTTTACATTTTAAACTTTTCATTTAAGCAGGGCTGCTTCTACCTAATTATGCAGATTTTGTTTGGAAGACTGGAGCAGAAAAGGAAAAAATAATCTTACTTAAATGTTTACTAGATATTGATGAGATTTGGGGTAGATTTTTTTTTTTAAGAAACTGGTTCCATTCTGCCTGCCATATTAATGGGAATGCCATTGAATTGCCTCAGTTTCGTGATTAGGATTTTTTTTAAAAAGCACTAGTTTCCTTTTAATATAGAATATTGACAGAGCACAAGAATTTTCTTGGAAAATAGGACAGTTATGATCCCAAGTAACAGTACTGAGTCTGGGTTTCAAAGGGCTTGACTGATAGATATTTCAGGGCAAGGATCTTGCTCAGCACCTGGCACATAAATAGGAACATAATAAATATTTGTTGCATTCTGAGCATAGCTAAGTGTCCAGCTCAGGGTTTAATGACTGAATTGATTTTTGAACACCTGACCCCAAAGACTGGCTCTCAGTACGTATAGGGCAAATGGATGGATGCGTTTTGTTCAGAAAAGTCCAATGCTATAATCAGAATTTCTAGTGTGCCTCTCTGGCTGTGTATATCCTGTCTGTTACATTTGCTGCTTGACTTTGAAATTGGATTTCCTCCTGTTTTACTGCAGAAAATGCAATTCAAGCCTTTGGCAATGGCTCCGATGTGACTGTGTGGCAGCCAGCCCTCCCAGTACAGACCACCACTGCCACTACCACCACTGCCTTCCGGATCAAGAACAAGCCCCTGGGGCCAGCAGGGTCTGAGAATGAAATTCCCACTCACGTTTTGCCACCGTGTGCAAATTTACAGGTGAGAAATGCATCCCGATTCCTTGTTAGGGCTCCCTTCCTGGTGTGGGGGAAACACGGGCAGACTCATTTTCCGAAGTGTATGCAGAGATAGATGACAAATGGTGCTCAGGTTTGAGTCTTAAAACTGCATTTTCAACACAGCCAGTGAAGACTGTGATGTGTCTTAGAGTGGAGAGAAAGTCAGACTATGAAACTGACTCTGTCATTTACTGGGAGTGTGGCTTGTTTCTGGCTCTACTTTCTTTACCTATAAAACGAGCGCTCTGGGGAGATGCGTCTCTGAAGTTTTTGTGCGTGGGGCTGTCAAGTTGGCTTGGTTACATATTTATTCTGCTGATTCTGTGTTCTCTGCAAAGCAGCGGCATAATAAAATGAAAGGAGCTCTTGAGTTTGACATCACCACATGGCATGGAGTATTTAACTGTCTCTAAAGGTAAACCAGAGACAGTGTTGCTGGTTAACTCCCATGCAGAACGCTTGATGGGTTGGTTCTTCCGAAGCAAAAGCAAGTGCTCTTTGGCAGTAGGAGGAGCCGCGAGGAGGCACAAGCTGCCCTGCAAACTCCCGCATGTGGACACAGTCCAGTGAGAAGGGTCAAGAACATTCTTTGGGGTTAATCCAGGTCTGCGAGGGCAGAACCACAGCAAGATAGAAGTGGTGATTTCCTGTCTTCAGTCAAAAGCAGAGTCTTTATCCTGCCTTTTTATTGATTTTTCATAGTAATAAGTACTCAGCTATTTGGCAAGACATTTCTTATTTGTATGTTCACAGGGTACCCCCACATTCTTTACCCCTTTGAGTGTTATCCTCCTGACGACTGCAGGAGAGATGCTATCACTATAGTATTGTAGCTTCTTTGGTTTGAGGACACAGGGGATCAGAGAAGGATCACTCTTGCTCAAGTCTGCAGAGCTAATGCATCACAGAGCCAGCACTGGGAACCCAGGAGCTTCATTCTTTCCATGATTTTTCCTGTATTTTGAGGGCAATGGTGACCACATGGTGACTTCTGCCTCCCGCTATGCTAGAGAAGGGGATGTTTGGTGGCCTTTGCGCCAAGCACTGTGCTGTCGCCTCATGCTCATCACTGGAGCACATCGAGGCCCCCAGCCCCCATCAAGGGTCAGCCTCACTAGGATTCTCACAAGATGCCTTCTTTCACCAAATATCACGTTGACCTACAACCCACTTCATTCCCTAGAAAGTGTCGGAAGCTGGTTTTGATTTCCTTGGTATCTTAAGACCCCTCTTCATCTTGGATGTCCTCCATGCCATTCATCTGAGCTTGTGTGTCCTTTGTCCTCCTGGTTCTCCACCCCAGACACACAGTCTCAGAGACACTCCCACACACAAAACACTAAGGAGAGGCTGATAAGGAAATGGCACAGCCCAAGGTCAACCAGATGTGCTTCATACTTCTAAAGCATTTCCTGGGCATGTACTCTCTCCAAAGCACTGTGCAGAGAAAGCCAGAGCCAGGAGGAGCTCTGGGAAATACTATGGCATGGAATTGCTCCATCCTGCAGCGAGGCCCTGAGTTTCAGAGCAGGGAAGTGATGTGTTCAGAGTCCTCCAGCGAGTTGAAGGCAGGCCTAGGGCCAGGCAGGGAACAGGGTCTCTTCTCCATCTCCAGCAGGTGCTCTGTACCCTGCTTCCTCCTAGGTCAGCTTTCCAAGCTACTTGGGCCCATTCACATTCTGGTGTCAGTAAAGACAAGTGGCCAGGTGAGGGGCAGGGTCCTATTATCATAAGGTGATCATAGGAAGCCAGTGGTGATTTCTGGAAAGAAAAAGCAAGTTCTGGCTACCGCAAAACCAGCTTCTTTTCTGCACATGTCTCAGTGCACAGAGGGTGACTGCAGAGGCAGCGTTCAGTGTTCAGCCTGAACTTAATAAACACAGTGTTCAGTGTTTATTAAGTCCCTTCTCTGTTTTAGAAACTTTGTGGAGACAGGCATTCAAAAACAAAAGTTGCCTTGTCAGTAAACTTAGAATACCGGGTGAGATGCAACTTGTCCACATTTTTGGAAGTTAATAGGCAACATCTCAGAATAGTCATCATTGGAAACTCCATGAAATTGGAGTTTCCCACATGAGAGGAGAGGGGTCTGTCAGCCATAGGAGGTGTTCTCTTCCACACCGCCCACCCCTACCCCACCGCCCAAATCCTAGCTCCTAACTTGAGCTCCCTGTGGTACAGTGCAGTACGTGGCTTGGACATATAGATAGCCAAGGTTTTGCCCCTAACACAGATCTGTCCAGACACCTTTCCCTGCAAGGAGGATCTGTACTGCCTCAGGGTTGTCCCAGCAACATCAGGGAACACAGGAGCTCTATTCCCCAGAAACCATGCCTTTCCTTTCCTGTTAGTGATAGGAACTCTGCTTTCTAAACCGAAGGACAAAAGTAAAATTAGGAGTTTGTGACTGCCTGGCCAACATGGTAAAATCCTGTCTCTACTAAAAATACAAAAATTAGCCGGGCATGGTGGTGCACGCCTGTAATCCCAGCTACTAGGGAGGCTGAGGCGAGAGAATCCCTTGAACCCTGGAGGCGGGAGGCAGAGGTTGCGGTGAACCGTGATCATGCCACTGCACTCTAGCCTGGGTGACAGAGCAAGACTCTGTCTCAAAACAAAAACAGAACAAAAGGTAAAGCATGACGTTTATCTCTGGGCTGCTGTTTAACTCCTTGGCAGAGGGGGACATGAAGACTTGGGGCTGTCGAGGAACAAAGGGTGGCTCTAACCACTTCCCTGTAATATGCACCATCTCCACATATCCTGGAGCTAAACAGCATTTCACTCCCAGGGAGCCCTTAGGGTTCCATGGAACCTCACTTTGACTCCTAAGATGATGACCTGCATGAGCCCCTTTTTGCACAAATGAGGCAGGGAATAAGGGATAAGGGCAGGGGAGGCAGCCAAGTCTGTTTCAGACCCTGCTCTTGTCCTCACCAGTATGGTAGCCTCTGAAAGCGTGCTAACCTCTCTAAGCCTCAGCTTCCTCATCTACAAAGCACATATATGGCTTAGCTGCTGGAGTTAGGATTCAGTGGAGCAGAGTGAATGTTCCATAATGGTGCTTTATGAATGTCACATGCAATTTGGTGTCTGATCCCAAGTCAGTGGCCACTTAGTCCCTTTATAACAGATGGAAGGTGGTGCTGTGCTTCCTTGGGGGCGGGTGTTGGGTGTGTGCTAGGGACATTGGTGGGAGGTTACACTAACAGGTGTGTAGTTTATTTTATTTTTCAAAACCTTCTGTGTGCTTTGCCCTCTGTACTCCTCACAGCAGCCCCGTGAGTCAGGTGTGGCAGACTCCTTGCCTTTTACAAATGGAGCAACTGAGGCGGGGAGAGGTTTGTGACGTATCCAGGATCACACAGTAATTCTCTAGCAGACCAAGATTTCTAACTTTGAGGCCAAAGCACTTTTGCCTTGCTCCATGACCCTTGGACAACTGGGATTCTTTCTCTGGATGAAGAACAGACAGCAGGGAAGAAGGAAAGAATAAGAAAGGAGAAACTGGTTTTAAGAGAGCCACATGTCCTAGTTCCTCCTGAGGTTCACTAATGCAAATAAGGGGGACAGAGGCAAAGTTCTGACTTCAGACTGGGTTTCTTTCTTCATGCCTCAATTCCAGGAGACAGTACAGGGAAAGGACTGAAAGTTTGCCAGTAACATTTTTGCAGTTGCTGATTTTCTAGGGTGACCTCTATGAAGAATGGTTGAAAGGATCATCTGCGGCTAGAGGATCGGGGAAATGAGAGAGTGATGAGTGAAGGGCCTTCATCCCGAGAACATGGTCCCTCCAGTTGATTTAGGATTCTTGCCTGGGCGGAGGGCTCCCAGGAGACTCATTCTCCCCATCTGACCCTCCTCTGCCTGCATGGCCGTCTCCAGATGAATTACCATTTGCTGGAGAGGAGGGAGGGGGTCCTAGAAATATCTTAGAATGGCGTTTGTCCCAGCCACATGTGTCATTACTCAGAATAGAACTGACTTTAACCAGCTTGGGATCCACTGGTAACAGATTCAGAGAAAGTCAACTATCTTTGGCAGCTCTAAAGTTCACTTCCCTTGAGAAGCGCCCTCTTGTAATATTTTAAAATATACAATAATATGAGAAAACTCTTGGGGACTTGAGTTTCAGTCTTAACATTTGAGATAGATTTCCCCCTTGGAAGGGAAGAAACACGAATAAACATTTTCGAAAGTCTGCTCCGAAGTGTAATTATCAACAAACCAAACGCAGTTCTGTTTGGGGAACTAGGTGGCTTTGGATGTGGAGAATATAGGGCGCATCCATGGTTCCTATGAAAGGCTCTGCTTTAAAAAAGGGAAGTTGATTGATTAGTATAAAATGTTACAGAAATGTCCAAGTGCTAACCCCCTGAGGTGATAAAATACCGGGTTTTGGGTAACCCGCCAAGCTCCCATGTCAGGATTAATTGGCAGTCATATTACTGACAAGCATAGCACAGGCTGTGCTATTGTTGGCCTGTTCCTTCGACTTGTACGAAATGGTCATATGGAAAACAAAGAAACATTAATAATCCTACCAATTACTTCATCTTCCGTGCACTGGAGTGGTCTGGTAGCTGGAAAAAGCTCAGGATATTTAAACCAAATGGACTGTGTATGTGTGTGTGACTTATTTAAAGTAAATATCTTTGGAGCATTAGAAAAATTCTCTATTTTGCATCACTGTACACTGCTTAACTCTGGTGGCTTACAGTGAAGACGTCTTAACGTGGTGTTGGTCAACCTCTGATTTCTGTGGTCAAATAGAGTAACAAGGATTGGGAGCCACAGCCTTGGGACTCCGGCCCCCTGAGAAGGTTTCACTGCCTCTATCCCCCTTCAGCCCCTTGCCCCTAGAAATGCTGTGACAGACCATAGGGCACACGCTCAGCCCCAGGGCGAGCAGGGTAGGTGAGGATAGCTGTGGGCAGTTGGCAGGGGCTCCAGTAAACAGCACTAACCACATTCAAAGTT